TGACTACACTAGATGAAAATAAAATAAAGTTATGCCACCAAAATATAATGAGAAAAAAGGTGATGGGTTGGGTTTGAAAAGAAAAGGAAAGAAAAAAAAGGAGTGGCACCATTGTCCTGCAATGCTCTCTAAATTACCTGAACACACCGACTTCTTTCTTTTAGCAATCACATTCCCGTCACCTGCCATTTGTTAGGAGATATTGTATGACTATTTCTCATCCTCGACACAAAATATTCTTAGGAGATACTGTATGACTATTTCTCATCCTCGACACAAAATATTCTTTTAAAAAAGCACAAAACAATTGGAAGAACTGGAGAATGATTATGCAGCAGTTTGCAGCACGACAACAGATTGTTCGAGAACAGCAGGTGACAAAGAGTGTAAAGACAAGAAGTTAGGAAATAAATAAAAGATATTTATCCTTATAAGAGAGTGAGTATACATTAAATAAATTTTCATTAAAGCTATAGAAAATAATAAAAATATCTGTATGCCTCCATGCTTAAAATTAACAAAGTAGTAAAAACAACTGATTTTTTCTTCTCTTGTCACTTTTTTAATACATCCGTAATATCAGTGGGATGAGAACATAAAATTGTCATTTTTATCTGTCTGAGGAAATAATATACATATATTCATGTCACATATTAAGCTGTATTGTGACATTTAAATTACGCATGGCTGACAACCTAAATCTCTAAATCCTGTGTACTTTATGGATATAAATGTATAGGGAATTAAATCTTAGTGAATTAACTGACATGATTATGATTTTTGATGAACCTGAATGTCTACTGTGAAAATGCCCATTGTGTATTACCCTGTCTTGCCACTAAAAAACTTGGTACTATAGTGATACAGCTCTTAAGTGAATTTTTTTATTGACCTATGTAATGATCCCCTAATTAAAAATAATCATAATAAAATAATGATAATAAAAAGCTAATTATAAAAAAGAAAGAAAAAAAAATGAAAGGGTCAAATAGATGTCTTTTATAATATAAGATTACATTATTTACAAATGATTATTTATTACTGGAATGATATCAGAACTTCAAAAATTCTGTATGCAGGATAAAATTTATTGCCATTATACATTAAATGAGATCTAGGGAGTAATTACCATCAACATTAGAGCAAGTATAGACTAATAACACGTTGCATCTGGGGACTGAGAAATTAGGGTTCTGTTTAACAATAAGCAACTGGTTCACATGCATATCTGTTGTTGTATTTTCCTTAGTGGTAACAGTATTAAAAATTCTGCACGGCAAAAGCTAAGTGCTCAGTGACATATAACAGTCTACAATCCCACACACAGTTTGCTGTTCAACATATTTCTCACACATTAGGTGACATAACATGGACACTGTTCAGAATTAAAACCATGATGAGGAGAGTAACAAAAGCCCCCCCCCAAAAAAAAAAAAAAAATTAATGAAGGTAATCATTATCCTACATAACAAATTATAATACCCTTATCACTTTTTTATTTATGGTTTACATACATCACTACTTTAACAACTTTCAATTATTTTTGACCTTGCTCTTACTGCGTGTCATATATTTGCTAGAGCTGCCATTTTTCTCCATGGAAGATGTTGCTTTAGTTTGCGGGTATTTTGGAATAATTGTAAACAGCATAATATTCAAATGCTCACAAATTTCCAAACATACTTGACGACAATATTTGATCAAGTCATAGATGACATACACCTGAAAGGGAGAATTGTCAATTAATTCTTTGTATGAAAGATATGAATTATAAGTAATCCATTGTGAACAAAACATATATTCATATATAAGCAAACAAATACATACACATAGACAGTAACAAACAGATACATACACAGACATAGATATAGACATACGCATACACATAGATATAGACAGGAACAGAGACACACACAAAGAAATACACAAATAAACAAACAGACAATGTCATGAAAGCTCACACACATATATACATAGAAATAAATGCACACCGAGGAAAATTATTGGTCCTTATAGACAGTACATACAATTACTCTTTTTTTATCACATGAAAATCAAACACAACACTGAATATCACACATACACACAAAAAGAATCAAGTCACATTTCAAATAAACATTTAAAGATTATCTCAGAAACCACAAGAGCACAACACTACTTACACAGACACAATACAGGAGATATTTTTCTGATATAGGACAGTTGAAGTACTGGTTAAGGAAGAGGGCAGCGGGACCAAGCAAAGAAGCATCGCTGTACGCCATCTCGCTCTTGGTCATGTGAGCCACCTGTACATGGGAAAAGGAATAAAGATTATCAGTAACTATGCCAAGCTACAAGAGAATGTATTCCTTTCAGTAATGGGAAAAAAACTTGCTTGATGACTTCTCTTTTAGAAACAACAATAGCATCAATAATAATATTAATACAATTAATAGTAACAGTAATAATAGAACAAAAACCATAACAACACCAATAATAATAATAACAATAATAATAACAATAATAATAACAATAGTAATAATAATAATAATAATTAATAAGAATTAATAAGAAGTTAATTATGACCTCCCCTTTCCTTGAAATAGTGGGAAATATCGAGACACTTTTTTTTATAAACATCATAATTACTATATTGTTACTGACACTACTAATAGCAGTATTAAATACTAGAAAATATCATTGAAAATCAAGGAAAAGGATAAACAGGTGATACAGGTAATTCTCATAATCAGGGCTGGAATTCTACGGAAATTCATCCGCTAAATGGAAACAAAGGACAACCAACAGATGGTGACACCGCTACAGATTTTTTTTTTCCAAAGGCTGTATTTTTGTTATTTTGTATGACTACAGATGTTTTGATGCAAAAGAAAAGTGTTTAAAACAATAATGAGATATTTTTCCATTTTCAAATAAAATAAACATGAAAATTTCTGAAACCCTCCTGGTATAAACTAATATGACGTGGCAGACCGAACGTTATTGTGGCAGAAATTTCATCCACTGTCATTTCATCTGGTCTTCTAGCTGTGCATCATCAAAGGCAGATCCACAGTCCCATAGAATGACTTTAAACCTTCAGCCCTACAACACACTCACTATGAATAGTCAAACACTTTTTAGATAAATCAAGTTTACAGGTTCAATGTCCCATTTTCTTATGTTATACATCTAATACATTTTCTATAAATGCTGTTGAATGTTACATTACTGGCTTGCTAATGTATTTCTTGTATATTGTTTTATGCAGGAAATTAATGCAAAAAATCTTATAATCACGAGACTAATCTCACACACTGTAGCTGTAATCTAATATTCATCTGTTTATCATAGTGTATGGTCCAATATTATTATTTATAGCCTGTTTCTTTATCATCTGTTATTTAGAGAATAGCAGAAAAGCTAACATCCTTGCCTGTAATTGGCTCATTGGTGACTTAGTACTTGTGGAGCCATCAATATATAAAAACAATTACTAAATTAACCACACAGTGGACATGGCATGTATGGACATGCCAACCCCAGCAATAAGTGGTTAATAATAATAATAATAATAAAAAAATAAATAAAAAATAAATAAATAATAATAATAATAATAATAATAATAATAATAATAATAATAATAATAATAAAAACAATAATAAATAATAATAATAATAATAATAAAATAATAATAATAATAATAATAATAATAATAATAATATATGATAAATAATATAATAATAATAATAAATAATAATAATAAGAATAATAATAATAATAATAATAATAATAATAATAATAATAATAATAATAATAATAATAATAATAATAATAATAATAATAATAATAATAATAAATAATCAGTAGCAGTAGTAATAATAATAATGATAATGATAATAATAATAATAATAATAATAATAATAATAGTAATAATATAATAATATAATATTAATAAATAATAATGAAGGAAGGAAGGAGGGAAGGAAGGAAGGAAGGAAGGAAGGAAGGAAGAAGGAAGGAAGAAGGAAGGAAGGAAGGAAGGAAGAAGGAAGAAGGAAGAAGGAAGGAAGGAAGGAAGGAGGAAGAAGGAAGGAAGGAAGGAAGGAAGGAAGGAAGAAAGGAAGGAAGGAAAGAAAGGCATGGGAGACAGAAAAGTGGCACATGGCATACCTGGGAAAATCAGTCCCTTCCAAACCGAAAGAGAGAGAGAGAGAAAAAGAGAGAAAGGAAAAGAAAAGATAATAATATAACAGGCACTCACCACAAGCCTATTTGTGACACGTGCTGCCACACATCCAAAAGTCAGCAAATAAATTGTGGGATCTTGCAGAAAGAGACTTTCTGGGCTCTTCCACGCAATGAGAACCGCAGGTACGAGGATGAGAGACAGAGGCACCACAGGAGACAACACACTTGTACCCTGCCAGAAGGAGAATTATTAATATGGCAGTCCTCTGGTTAAGAACAGCAACTTTAATCACAAGAATCTGAAAGCTAAGTTTTCAAGAACTAAAAAAGATGAGTATGAATATATATTGCAATAACTCTAATTCAAATTTAGATCACATGAACTTTGAAATTCAGGCTTTCAAAACTTATAAAGATTGATGACAAACAGTACATATCTAATTGGCCTTAATCATATCAGCAAAACACAAATCAAATCGAAGTAAACTAGAAAATAGAGCAATGGGAAAATAAACCAAGATCTGCATTAGGATAAATGACATAAGATATAAGATAGAGCTTTAGAACACACACACAAAAAATAAGATACAAAGCTTTATAAATTAGGAAACTTATCAATATGATCAAGAGGTACAGCAAGAGCTCAATATCAAACCAAAAATGGTGTGACTTTTTAATCAAACTACAGTATCTTATAGGTAAAAAAAAATGATCCTCAGCACAAAAATTGCTATTAGACATTAATTTAATTTGCACTGACTTATGAATTTTATTAGCATTGACTTAAACATGTCCAACTTTAAAGTAATACTTTGCCTATTACAAAATTGAAACTGAAAATTATCAATACAATTCTACTCAATCCACTATTATCCATACATGCAAGGAAATTTTGAAGCCCTCTTTTCTTATATTCTATATTACTTAGTATAAAAATCTAAAAATAGATCTTCACTGGCCAAACTTACCAATACTAGAAGGGCATCAAAGACCATGCAAAGCAACTGCGAATAAGTGAAATAATACAAGCAAAAGCGACAAAGACACAAAAGAAGATGTTGAAAGATAAACAAAAATTGACCTGTAATCACACTGCTTGTATTTACATTGCATAATGCTTACTTACTTATTCACCACTCACTCACTCATTCACTCACCCATTCATTCATATACACAAATACACATACTCCTAGCTTATCCTCACTCCTCTTTTGCAGTTTATACTATCAGTTAACTACAAAGTAACCATTTCCTGTATCTGTAGCTCAATACACAACAACTATGAAAATATTTAAAAGTACTTTGATAACCAATAAGAAAATCTTCAATCAAGCTTTACTGCATAGTAATTCTAATGAATGGCAGAAAAAAAATAGGATTAAACCGATCAAATTAGTAATTCAGAACTACTGTCATATGATGCTGATTTTAATCACTAGCCGATGGGTGGCACATAGTACATGCCATGGCTGTTGTGGACCGAAAAACGGATGGCAACGTATTGTGCCCATTCCCGCGCCATTGGCTCGTCAGACAGAGTTTGATTTTCTCCGGTAGTAGCAGCTTTATTTATATGGTAAAGATCTTAGGCAATGGTACCTATAATGAAGGTAAACCTTCAAAATTATAATAT